AAAAAAAAAAAAGAATATACCACAGAAACTGTCCTGCAGAGCCTAAAATGTTGTTTCATCTTCACTCACATATGCCAGTGGGTGTGAGTATGTACGTTTGGGGGCATACTTACATGTGCATATGTGCCTGTGTACTTGGGGTTCCCAGGTACTGACACGTGTGGTGGTCACAGAGGAGAACCGTGCAACGGGAGGCTGACCACACGGGCCTACCTGACAGCCCCAGCCACGCTTCAGTTTGGGTGTCACATCTCCTGTGAGTTAGGGTTAGAATCCCCAGGTTAAACATGAGGACACTGAGGCTCAGGGAGAGAAAATGACTTGCCCGAAGTCACAGAGTAAGTCGGTGGTGGTGGAGCCTGTTTCTGCTTTATTCTCTTCTGTGACCCAGCACCCCACACAGGGCCTGACAAGGAGGCAGGGTGGGGGGCCCAGGAAATGGCTGTGGAATGAATGATCAACAGGATGAAGGGATTAATAGACTAGTCCCCTGGTTACTGGATTCTTGCATCTGCCCCCCAGCATTAGCCCCTGCTCCTCCTCCCCTGAGCCCAGAGAGGAATGTCAAGGACAGGAGAGGTTTCCAAAATCCCTACCCACTCCATTGGCTAGCAGGTCAGCCGCCGCCCCCAACCCGTGACCCTTGCCCAGGCTGTGATAGCCTCAGGAATACAGAGTTCCAGATGTGGGAAATAGTAAGGCCCCCAACCAGGCACCAGGCCTGGGGCATCTACCTGGCAGACGGTCTGCCTCGGTCTGCCTCTCGTCCTGTCGTTGAGCTGAGGGACTAGGCTTGGGCTCACAGCCACCAGCAGGCCAGGCTGCCCCTCAGCTTCCCGGATTGGAAAGGGGGTAGGTGGCCTGGCTCTCCCAGCCCCTTGACTGACAACCTCGAAGATTTTATAAGAACGGGCCTCTGGACATAAGCTGCCTCTCTAACCTATTGCCCAAACCCACAGCTCTTCTTACAGCTGGGCAATGGCCCTGGGAACCGCTTCTGGGCAGCCAATGTACCCCCCAGTGAGGCTCTGCAGCCCAGCAGCAGCCCCAGTGCCCGGCGGCGCCACCTGGAGGCCAAATACCGTGAGGGCAAGTACCGCCGCTATCACCCGCTCTTTGGCAACCAGGAGGAACTGGACAAGGTCAGGGCATTGGGCCTCTGGGGCTCCTGGAGACCACCCACTTTCTTTCTGCTCCCCTCATTGCTCTCTGTGTTTCAACTCATCTTTTGCATCAGCTCAGAGCGATGAGCTTGGTATATAGGGAAACTGAGGCCCAGAGGGCAGAAGGACCCTGCCTGAGCCACAGGGAGAGTTGGAGCAAAGGAAGGAGGAGTCAGGCCTGACCCTTGGGCCAAGGCCACATCCCCAGCATCTGTCTGCCTCCCTCCCCTCTTGATTCCTCTGTCTCCCGAACCGTCCTGCTCCTTGTGAATCCTGCCAAAAGGAGTGAACTTGATGGGGATGCTATTTCCTGTCAGGCTCATGAAAAACAGCTGGCTGCTCTGACCCACCCCCCCCCCATCCACACCCCACTCAAGATGAGGCCCCACATGGGCCCCAGGCCCTGACAGGCTGGGAGCCAAGCCCCGGGCCCTGGTCTGGCTCAGCCTGAGTGGGAGGTAGCCTGCTCCGAGGCAGGGGGATGCCACTGTGACCTCTGATTGGCCTTCAGCCCCTCCCCCCAAGCAGCCCCACCCAGGAAGGCTCAGTCTAGCTAGAAGCCCAGTGGGAGCCAGACCTCCACCTCCCAGGAACCCAGGCGTCCAGCCCCCAGCCCAGCCCAGTCTAGCCCTCCAGCTAGGAGGGGCAGCAACTCCCATTGGTTGAGAGGGCTGGGCAGGCAGTGAGGAATTCAAATGTGGGAGGAATTAGCTACAAAGCACCCCGCTCTGCCCTTCCACAAGGCAGAGGGAGCTTGAGATCCTCTAGAGAACAGGCTTGGCGGCTGACTGGATCCCAGGGGCTGCCAGCAGGGGTGAGCCCTGGGCCACTCGGATCCCCAGCCTCTGCAGGGCAGCCCCTACCTACCCTCCTAACCCCTTGGCCTTTCTCTTCCTCCCCCTTTCCTCTCTGGCTTTCTTCCTGCCTTTTTTCTCTTTCAACCTGAGGATGGGCCCCCAGACTTGGGTGACTCCTTCCACTCCCTTCCTCTCTTCCCCCAGGCCCCCTTTCCCACTGTCCCCCCACTCTGACTTAGGCTGACCCTCCCCTCCCTCTTCCTCCCTCCTCCCAGGCTCTGTGTGCTGCAGTCACTACCACAGACCTGGCTGAGACCCAAGCTCTCCTGGGCTGTGGGGCTGGAGTCAACTGCTTCTCAGGGGACCCTGAGGCCCCCACGCCCCTGGCTCTTGCCGAGCAGGCAGGGCAGGCGCTGCAGATGGAATTCCTACGGAACAACCGGACCACGGGTGAGTGGCTGATGGGACTGTCCACCTTGAGGGATGGGGCCTCCCTGCTGCCACCGTCTGGCCTTTTGAAAGGGGTGCTGGGTGGGGGTCACCAGAAGCGGTGTATCACCCTGTGGGGTTAGATATGTGTACCACGTGGGCTGTGATAGCAGCTCCTTGAGGGGCCCTACAACAGCGTGTGACTTGGGGTCTGTTTGGGTTTGCATGTCAGTGTACATTTGTGCATCTGGCTTCCCCCTCATACGTGTGTCCCTTTGTGTCTGTCTCTGCATCTCTTTCTGGATTTGTGGGTCCCGCCCAGACCTGCAGCAGGGCCTTCTGCCTGCCACCGTCTGGGCATCTCTGAGCTGCTGCAGATCTGTGTTTCCTCACACCTGGGGGTGTCGAGGGCTTTGGAGTTTGTGTGTGTACAGAGTAGCTGAGTTGCTGTGTGGGGGTTGCATTTCTCTATGTGCGAGTGGCCCACAATGGCAGCCCTGTCTGCTGCTTTGTCTGGGTGGGGCTCTGTCACAGACTGGGGTTGGGGCCCATTTGGCTATCACTCTCCGGGTGAGTGAGGAGGGGATGGCGGGGGTGAGCCCTGCCGGTCATGGCCCGGGGCTGGCCTCTGGGGCCATATCCCAGGACTGAGGGTGGAGCTCAGCGGCCAGAGCTCGGCTCGTGGCCACGGGTGGGTGGGGTGTGCTGGGCTGGAGCAAGCCCAGGTGTCCAGGGAGGCACAGGAGACCACCCAGCTGGCTTGAGCTTTGGGACCGCTGGGAGCGGGACTGGAGCCGGGCTGCTTCCTTAGGCTTTGCATTGTCTGGGACAGACCTCCTTCTGGGGATTGTTAGTGAGTTTGCCAAGACCCCTCATTCTAGTGTGCTAGCCCTGTGCCTCAACAGAGAAAGTGGGGTAGGCTGGGCTGGGGAGTTGGGGGGCTTCCTGGCAGGGAAGGTACTGGAGCTGGGCCTTGGAACTAGGGTGGAATTTGCACAAGCGGGAGGAGGTGGAGAATGACTTGGGCAAAGCCCTGGATGTGGCACTGAGACCCTGAAGGTGATAGAGGACTGGTGGCTTGAATGTAAGCTCGGATGCTCGACCCAGGCAGGGGCGAGGGGAGACACCCTGGGATGGTGAGCACGAGCAGCTGTTCCTCACCATACACCCCACCCCCCCAACACCTTCCCTAAAGAGGTGCCTCGGCTGGATTCAGCGAAGCCTCTGGAAAAGCACTACTCAGTTGTCTTGCCGACTGTGAGCCACAGTGGCTTCCTCTACAAGACTGCTTCTGCCGCCAAGCTGCTGCAGGACCGCCGTGCCCGGGAAGGTGGGTGTTTGGGCAGACCCCGTTCTTGCCATGGTGTTCTGGCATGGTGGCCGGGCCAGAGAAGCCAGGGCTGTCTGCACTGGTGACCAAGGAGGGTGCCAAGTATACTCTGGCAGAGTCACCCTAGAGGGCTTCCAGGATGTGGTCTCTAGTACATAGTAGATGCTTAATAAATGGGCGAATAGGGGTGGGAGCAGGGCCTGGCACTGCGGAGCAAGTCACTGCTAGAGTGCCTTTAGGCTATAAAAGCCTTGATTGAGCGCCTGCTGGGTGCTGGGCCTCTGATAGTTAGAGCCAGACAGAGCTAAGCTCAGAGCTCCTCCCCTTCGTCCTCTCTGCCTTCCATTTGCTCCCCAGCTCTGAGTACAATCCGCAGTCCTTCCCATATCCCACAAGGACCTGCCAGTCAGCCCTCCCACCCTGTGACTTCTGACCCCTCTCCCCTCACTCACTCTGCTCCAGCTTTACTGGCCTCCTTGCTGTTTCTCAGACATGTATATTTACTTCCACCAGGGCCTTTACATTTGCTCTGCCCCCTGCCCAAAATGATTTTCGCCAAAATATCTGCACGATCAGTCTCTCACTTCAGTCGGATCTCTGTTTATTTTATTTTATTTTTAATGTTTTAATGTTTATTTATGTTTGAGAGAGAGAGAGCAAGAGTGGAAGGGGCAGAGAGAGGGAGACAGATTCCAAAGCAGGGGCTCCACGCTGACAGCAGTGAGCCCAATGAGGGACTAGGACTCGCCAACCGTGAGATCATGACCTGAGCTGAAGTCAGATGTTTAACTGACTGAGCCACCCAGGTGCCCCGAGTCAGGTCTCTGTTTAAATGTTACTCCTTAGAGGGAGGCCTGGTTGACTCAGTCAGTTAAGCGTCCATCTTCGGCTCAGGTCACGGTCTCACAGTTCATGAGTTTGAGCCCCATACTGGGCTCTCTGCTGTCAGCATGGAGCCCACTTCGGATCCTCTGTTTCCCTCTCGTTCTGCCCCTTCCCTGTTCACCCACACACACGTGCGCTCTCTCACTCTCTCTCCCTCAAATAAACAAACATTAAAAAAAAAATGTTACTCCTTAGAGACTTCATCCATAACCATTTTACCCAAATTAGCATGCTCTATTTACTTTTACCCTAACTTCATGCCACTTATCTGATGTTAATTTGTCTGTGTATAGATGTATCTATTGATTCTCTGTGCCACACTGGAATATAAGCTCCTCTCGGCCACCACTGTAGCCCCAGCACCTAGAACAGCTCCTAGCACAGTGGGCACTTGACAGACATCACAGGATGAAGAGTGACCGAGGCAGGGCTGCTGCTTCTGGAGGGCCCCAGCCTGGGGGGCAGACTCTGGGACACACTGCCCTCAGAGGGCAGATGGCATATCCTCGCAGATAGGACAAGAGACAGTGTCTGCTTTGGGAACATTATTGAGACCATTGCTCCCTGCGTCCCTCAGCACCCCTCTGTGACACCCTCTAATACCCAAAGAGATTTCTTTGGAACTCTGTGCTGTTCACCACCTCACTGCCCCTGGGGCACTGCCCCTCGTCTACCTCCTTCTGCCTGATAATGTCATTTATGTAACTGCTTGAGTCATCCTTTTTGCCCTGGATGCCAGGAAGCTCTGAGCCAATGTGAAGCTCAATGCTACGAACTATATAAGCCTGCGTGGCCTTGACATTCTGTTCTTTCTCCTGCCTTTCCTGGTCCAGATCCCCATTGCTGTTCCTTTATGGGATCTTGTCAGTTTTCTCAGTGCCATTATAGGAAGAAACATAGAGCAATGTGTGTCACTGGCAGGGGAGGGTGGGAGCATGGGGTGGGCATGGAAACTTTCTGTGACATATGGGCTGTTCTTTTAAAGGATGGAGGGTGTGGGTGGAGGAAACAAGGTGAGCAAAAGTGGGAAGGGCGAGGTATATGCCCAGAAGTGGTTGGAGAGGAGGGTAGGGGCAGACCCAGCAGGGCCTTGAATGCCAGTCTGAGGTGTATAGAATAAGGGGAGCATGGCAAAGTTCTGAGCACGGGAAGGACGGAGTCTGGTTTTACTTAGATCACTTTTGAATCTTGGAAGAAGCAAGTCGAGGCACCAATGAAGAAGTCACTGCAGTGGTTCAGGGGAGAGGCGTGGGCTGGGCTGGGGCGGCAGGCTGCAGGGAGGAGGATGGAATCAGGGGAAGCTTGTGAGTTAGAACGAAGAGGACCTGAGTCAGGTGGGAGTCGGGGCCCAGGGAGGATACAGAGGGGGTTTTCAGGGGAGGGCAGGGGCTCCCTCATGGCTCCCCTGCCCAACTTCTTCCCAGAGTTCAGCCGACGCTGGTGTGTCCTTAGCGACGGGGTCCTGAGCTACTATGAGAATGAGCGGGCAGTGACCCCCAACGGTGAGATTCGAGCCAGTGAGATTGTGTGCCTGGCAGTGCCCCCTCCTGACACCCACGGGTGAGTATCCCTGGGGCAGAATCACAGACTCTTATTGCTGTGGGATCCAAGCCCCCATTCAGGAGATAGGGAAACAGGCCCAGAGAGGGTCAGAACCTTCCCAGGGTCACAGAGCAAACCCTGTGGGCCTCCGGAGGCCCCAGTTTAGGACTTTCCCATCCCTTCTTATGGGGCCAGGGAAAGGGCAGGGGGCAGGGGATGGCGGCAAGGCTGGGCAGGGTGGGTCATGGCTGGGTTGAGTGGGCCTGAATCCTGACCTGTGTATCTACAGCTTTGAGCACACCTTTGAGGTGTACACGGAGGGAGAGCGGCTGTACCTGTTTGGTCTGGAGAGTGCAGAGCTGGCTCGTGAGTGGGTCAAGTGCATTGCTAAGGTGGGCCTGAGTTAGTGGACAGGTGTGGGAAGTCTGACAGGGGCTGGGGTGGGATCTCCCGGCTGATCCCGTGTACCCCATCTCTCCTGCCTCATGAATGGAGGGAGCAGACATAGGGCAGGCTTCTGGGGCCAAGAGCCAGATATGTCAGCATCTGCAGCCCCCTCGGGGGGACGTCAAGAGACCGGTCTCAACCATGTGGAAGAAGGGCTGTGAGCTTTGCACTCCACAGGTGCCCAATACAATAATGTGTAACAGCCATGTTAGGATAGATAGTGCTGACTCCAGGAAGAGTGAGCATCTTGTTCAGGAGCAAAGAGGCAGGGAGGCTGCAGAGCTCTGTCCTGGGGATTAGAGCCAGGTGCCCTCTGGGTCCCCCTGTGCTGTGAGGGCCTGTGACTCTTATTTACTCGGTCTCTGATCAGTCATCTGTGAGCCTCCTTGACGGTTAGTCCTCTGAGCTCTGGGAACCCAGATGAACCAGTCTTGGTCCTGGCTCTTCAATAGCTCCTTTGCTGATGGGGGAGACAGCTGGGTCCCTGACAGCAAGAATACTGTGGTCAGTGCCGCAATAGAGGGCAGAAAAGGGGCATCCCTGAAGGTGTCTGGGAACGTTTTCCTGAGGAGGGAACATAAGAGTGCGTATGAGTGGGGCATGATACCTGAGTTTATTTACTGTGCTAGGTCCTGCCCAGGGGAAGAGAGGAGGCAGCAAGGTGGGAAATGGGTATATGCCTACAAGCCAAAGAGCCTGGGGCAAGGGGTGGGGGTGGGGGAGGGGGGAGGCCGGCATTGCTGTTGGCTGATGCGGTCTCTTTGGCCACCTCCCCTTTTCCTCTGGCCTTCCCATCAGGCGTTCATACCTCCCCTGGCTGAAGATCTGCTGGCCCGGGATTTTGAGCGGCTTGGGCGCCTACCCTACAAAGCTGGCCTGAGCCTACAGCGAGCCCAGGAGGGCTGGTTCTCCCTCACTGGCTCCGAGCTCCGTGCTGTCTTCCCAGAGGGGCCCTGCGAGGAGCCGCTCCAACTTCGGAAACTGCAGGAGCTTTGTGCGTGGACCTAGACCTGGGCCCCCAACTTCCAGGGCACCCTATCCTGGGCTCCCAGGCCCCCAGCCCTTCCCTGGAAGTCTGAACTCTACCCTGGCCTGGCCAGAAGGAGCCAGCCTGCCCTCTTATGTCCTCTCCTGCCCTTGGGGTGTATCTCAGCGACTCCATGTATTGATGGGTGGGTCCCAGGGATGTATGTGCCCAGAGAACCTCAGGAGGGAGTCGGTTGGGGACCATGAACAAGGCCTTACCTCGACCGGCCCCTCCACAGCCGTCCAAGGGGACAGCGAGAACCAGGTGCTGGTGCTGGTGGAGCGAAGGAGGTGAGCCCTGGCCTCCCTGGGGGGCTCTGAGAAGCCCGCGGCAGTCTGTCTGACAGGCTTGGGAGGGGTAGGGCAGGGGTAGGCTCCCAAGTGACTGACTATCCCCCCCACACCCAGGACGCTGTACATCCAGGGGGAGCGGCGGCTGGACTTCACAGGCTGGCTGGGGGCCATCCAGAAAGCAGCGGCCAGCTCCGGGGACACGCTGTCGGAGCAGCAGCTCGGAGACTCAGATATCCCAGTGATCGTCTACCGCTGTATAGACTACATCACGCAGTGTGGTGAGCCCCGCCCCTGTAACACAGACCCCGCCCAGGGAGGCTGACCTCTTGCGTCTCCCCCACCACCGGCCAAACCCCGCCTTCCCAGGACCCCTCTGACCTTAGCTGCGAGGCCCCGCCCCCGGCTCAGTGCCACCCCCTCTGCAGGCCTGACTTCTGAGGGCATCTACCGCAAGTGTGGGCAGACATCAAAGACTCAGCGGCTGCTGGAGAGTCTGCGGCAGGACGCTCGGTCTGTGCGCCTCAAGGAGGGCGAGCAGCATGTAGACGATGTCTCCTCAGCACTCAAGCGCTTCCTGCGAGACCTGCCCGATGGTCTCTTCACTCGCGCCCAGCGCCTAGCCTGGCTAGAGGCCTCAGGTGGGCCCTGTAGTCCTTGCCAGCCTGAGACCCAGGCTAGTGCTGCTGACTTGTCCACTCCTATCTCCAAATTCCCACCCCTCCCCTTCCCATCCAATGAGGCATGCCCCGTCTCCCTTACTCCCTCTGCTTCTCCTTCCCTTGTCACTCCATACAGGAAGTGCTATTCACCTAGGAGGAAAGGCAGAGCAGCCAGAAGGGTGGGACAGGGGAGGTGGTTATGGGGGGCCTCCTGACCTGATCTATTTCCCCCCACCCAGAGATTGAGGACGAGGAGGAGAAAGTCTCCAGATACAGAGAGCTCTTGGCACATCTGCCTCCAGTCAACCGAGCCACAGTGAAGGCCCTTATCAGCCACCTGTACTGGTGAGGAACATTATTATTGTATGGCTCTGGGGGGTTGGGGTGGAAAAGATTCTTCTACTCCTTCCTGGCTGACTGCCCTCCCCACAGAACCAGGTAGGCCTGGGAACTGAATGTGGACTTTTGATGTGCCCTGATCTTGGACCCTTTGTCTCCCAACTTACTTCCTGCAGGGTGGGAGAATAGAGGTGGTTTCACCTGGGACCCAGGGGACCTTGGCCAAATCTCCCAGCTTCCCAGCTCTGTTCCTCCCCTGGACCTACGGCATGGCCAGAAAGACTATTCCCATCTCCCCTTAACTGGTGGTTCACTCTGACCAGGACTTTCCCTGGCCTCCCTCCAGGAGTCAGTTGTGGACCTGCCTGGAATTGGGAAGGTGAAGTGGGGAGGTTCTGGGCTGGACTTCTCACTCAGGGCTCTGTCTTCCCCTGTCCAGCGTCCAGTGCTTCTCAGACACAAACCAGATGAACACGCACAACCTGGCTATTGTGTTTGGACCCACGCTCTTCCAGACAGATGGACAGGACTACAAGGCTGGCCGTGTGGTAGAAGACCTCATCGGCCACTATGTGGTGGTGTTTAGCGTGCGTCCCCCGCCAGTGGGCACTGGAGGGCAGGGACGGGCCCCTTGGGTGGCAGTGATCATCTGTTCCTGTGTCTTTCTCCTCCCAGGTGGATGAGGAAGAGCTGAGGAAGCAGCGGGAAGAGATCACTGCCATTGTGAAGATGCGTGTGGCTGGCACTGCCAGCGGGACCCAGGTGAAAGACTGGGCCTGGGGTAGGGTGCTCGGGATAGCTGCCTGCACCCACTTTCCCCGCCTCTAGCTGAGCCCTGTCTTTTCACAGCATGCCGGTGACTTCATCTGCACAGTGTACCTGGAGGAGAAGAAGGCGGAAACCGAGCAGCATATCAAGGTGAGAGCTAGGGACCTAGGAGCCAGAGGAGCAGAGAAGTCAGGCTGGGCCAGGCACAGGCTCAGGTGACCAGGGGAGCAGGGCTTCTATCCCAAGGGGAGCCCTGGTTTGGAACCTGTGTCTGGCTGGTGCCAGGGCCTGTCTCTTTGCCTCCTCCCCAGACAGTGGTCATCGGGACCACTTAGAGACACCCTTCTAGTATCCCAGGACCCGAAGGGTGGGCTCGGCCCCTGGATCACAGCAAGGTTGTGGGAGAGCAGGGGCAGGAACAGGGTAGGCTGACCTCTTCCTCCTTGGCCACTGCAGATCCCAGCAGCCATGACAGCTGAGGAGCTCACCCTAGAGATCCTGGATCGCAGGAATGTGGGCATCAGGGAGAGGGACTACTGGACCTGCTTTGAGGTCAATGAGAGGGAGGAGGCAGGTAGGTGGCCACCAGGATTTGTGCAGGGTATGGTGTGGCCTGTACTTGTCTGAGCTGCTGCCCCAGTCTGTCCTCCCCTACCCCACAGCGTGGCAACAGTGGTGGTCAAGGGAGTCTTGGATGATAGATGCTGCTTCCACACTGTCACCTCCATGATGGTGGTGGTGGCATGGTGGGGGGCCGGGGGGAGTTGAGGTGATGGCTATAATGTGGCTGATGGGAAGGAGGTTGATGGTATCAACTGTGACGGTGCTTTCTCAGTGTCAGTGAGAATGGTGTTCTTGCGAGGGTGGCGATGCTGAATTTGATAATGGGACTGATGGTGAAGGGGGCAGTAGGTGGTGATGACCGTGCAAGAGGGGTCAGGCAGGGTGGGGTGGGGTGGTGTTTGTAAGGGTGGTTGTGACGGTGTTGTGAGGGAACCTTGGTGGTAAAGACAGTGATAAAGGCATTTTAGGATGAAGGGTGGTCTTAATGGCAGTGGACAATGAGGGTGTATCTGTCCATTTGTTTTACTGTTATTTGTTGAGTGCCAGACACACAGCCCCTCCGCTTCATGGGAGTTAGTCTCGCATGGAATAGACATTAATCCTGTGGCCTCAGCAATAAACATACAACTGAGACTGTGATAACTGCCTAGAGCTTGTAACGGGGTCTCTGGCTACAGAGCTTGTAACGGGGTCTCTGGCTACAGAGTCCCTACACTAGGAGGTGAAGAGTAGGAGTTGCTTGGTGAAGGGGGAGAAAAGTGTCTCCAGGCAGTGGGAGCGGCACAGGCAGAGGCCCTGTGGTGACCATGGACATCACCCTTTTGAGGAGCTAGAGATAAGGGCAGTGAGGGGGCTGTGTCATGGGGTGGGACTGAAGACAGAGGCAGAGGCGGCCACCCAGCCCGACAACAATGCAAGGCCTCTGAAGGGCTAGTGACTGGGAGTTTGGAGAGGTTGCTACTTGCCGCCGGGTAGGGAGAGGTGAGGAGGGGAATGAGAGCACATGCAGGAGACCCCTCGGAAAGCCACAGTATTAGTCCAAGGACAGATGGTAACAGGGGCCAGCGTGGCAACAATGATGGACAGAAGTAAAGAGATTTAACATATGGAGGGAAGAGGGGGAGGAAGCTGTGTTTCTGGCTTGAATGGCTCGGCAGGTGGTGTTTTCCCCAACGAGGACACGGGAAAGATCACTGGCTTCGGTTGGAACAGCTTTGGTCCCAGCCAGTTGTGTCAGACCTGCAGCTCGAGCATGGAAAGGGTAGTCCTGATGGTGATGTGTTGTGGCGCTGGTAGGTGGCGGGAGTGGTGCTCATGGACGTGTAGGTGATATGTGGGTGTGCCAGCCCTCGGTCCCTCAGTAACAGCGGGTGTGACCTCCCCCCAGAGCGCCCCCTGCACTTTGCGGAGAAGGTGCTGCCCATCCTGCACGGGCTGGGCACAGACAGCTACCTGGTGGTGAAGAAGCACCAGTCCATGGAGGCCATGCTGCTGTACCTGGGTAGGTGGTGTGCCTGGGTGGGTGGCGCCTACAGGGCTGGGCAGGCTGGTGGGTCCCTCCATCTGAAGCCCAGGCAGGAGCAGCTCGGGCAGAAAGTGCCATGTGGGCAGGCCTCTTTGGTGGCCGGGGCAGGCTGGGGCAGTTTCCTTCATCCTGGGATGCACCCCTGGGTGTCTGTATCCATGGGCAGGGGGTTGGTGCAGCCCACGCCCACTCCGGTCTTCCCCCAGCCAGCCACGTAGGTGACACCAAGCACGGCATGATGAAGTTCCGTGAGGACCGTAGCCTCCTGGGCCTGGGCCTGCCCTCAGGTGGCTTTCACGACCGATACTTCATCCTCAACAGCAGCTGCCTGCGGCTCTACAAGGAGGTCCGGGTAAGTGACCCCAGGGGGTCGTGCCCTGCAATGAGCGTCTGTACCCAAGTGTGCTCACACACCCATTCACAAACATTCGCCAGTGTCTGCCAGTGGGAGCAACCCCATCGCGGGGTCTTGGGGTGGCACAGTGGTGGAGGAGAGCTATAGACTCTCAGGAATCTTCTGCTGTGGCCCTCGGTGGCCGCTCTTCTGTGCCCTGTAGCCCCACTAGGCGCTAGTCTCTGGTGCCATCACGTCAGACTCATGCTGTCTCACCTGTGCCTGTGCCTTGTCACGGCACCCACAAGAACATGCTATGTGGTGACAGCCCCCGTCGTGGCCCATGCACATCTTGTCACTTCACAGATTGTACCTCCTCCATGCCCACTCTGTCCACATGCCAGGCGGCCTCCCAGGTCTTGGCACCCTGCCCCCAACATCTTCTGCACATACCTGCCACATCCCGCCATGCACCACCACACACACTGTCCTGGCTGTGGACCCGGACCTCCTTCTTCCATAACTCTGATCCTCTATCAAACAGAGCCAGAGGCCATGGAGCGGGGCCCCTGAGACCGTGAGTAGCTGTGGGCCAACTGCTAGCTGCCTTACACCACCTGGGGGCCAAGTGAGCCTGGTGGGAGCGTGGGGACACAGCCAGAGCTCTTCGCTACCTTCAGGCATGGTTCCCTGCCCTCTTGCCTATCAGCACTGGCTCCCGTCTTTGGGCTTGTGTCCTGGGCTCCTGTCCTTCATCCCCACCCATGCCCCAGAGTCCTTTTCCCAAGAAGGTTGAGCCCCCATCAGTGTGATGCTTTACAGTTTTCCAAAAGACTAGGTGTGGAGGCTGTGGAGCCAGTATCAGAGGCCCCTAGGTTTGAATTAGAGCTCTGACCCTCATCTCCTGCCACCCCTGGAGCCATCCTTGTCCCAACCATGGAGAGAGTTTCAAGACTACCAGAATGCCCGTGCTACTACCCTGATCCTAAAATGCTGGGGTGAGACTAAATGGGCCTGTGGTATAGTTCACCTGTGGTAGGAGTTCCCACTCAGCCTCCCTGGCTGGTTGCCAACCCTTACATGCACACTTCTGGGAGAGGGGAGCTTATCCACTCCTCCCTTGGGACTGCCCTATCCCTAGAGGGATAGTTTTGCCGGGAGAAGGCCCTTGCTCAAGTTCAGCTGAGAACCTGCCACCTGTGATGCCCCTGTGGGTTCCAGCGATGCCTTAGGGGCCACAGAGCATAGATGCGCTGTAGTAATGGGCAGCGGAAATGTATTTCCAATCCAAGGGTCTAACCGGATCTCCCATAGCTATTCCCACCAGTGATTCCAGCCCTTCCTGTCCCTTGCCTCTCCTGAGGACACTGGGCAGGCCTAGCTGTCATGGAGGGAGCAGAGCAGATAGACCAGGATCCTCACCTCCCTCTCTTTGCACATTATACCTCTACTAATGCAGCCTGGGCTCCTACAGATCCTCGTAGGCAATGCCTCCTCTTCTCTCTTTTGCCTCCCTCTATGATTACTTACTTCTGGGCCTGTTCACCCCTCCACTCAGTCTCCCTTGGTTCTGGGATGTTATTTCCCTGATGCCCTCCTTATGATGGTACTTGGAGCGGAGCAAGACCATCATTGTGGGCAGAGAGGAAGGAGGGTGGCTGAGGCACCTGAAAAAGCAGCTGCTAATCCCTTAGCATGGAGGGGAAATGGCACGAGAACTAGAGAAAGGAAAAAGATCTAATGTTTAAGTGAGCCAGGTTTGGTGCCCAGCCCTCCACATACTAGGACATGTCCTCCCACTAGCGTCCTCCGGAGGAGGGGTATTATCCCCATTTCACAGGTGAGAAAACAGGCTTCGAGTGCCTTGCCTAAGGCCATCTCTAGGTAGCCCCATCAGAGCTCGAGCTCTTTATTCCTTGAAGTACAGGAAACAGGGACTCTTTGGCGGAGCTGATCAGTGCTGCTCTCTGAATGGCAGCCACACCTCTGCCCTGACAGAAGCCCCAGGAGGGTGTGGTTTGGCTACTGAGGTGTTGGTAATTCCGGCATTTGCTATTTTATGGAGGAACAGAACAGAATATTTGAAATTGGGACAACACCCAGCAATTCAGGATATGCGAATACCCAGGCCAAGGCCTGGGCATCTTCCATTGTTAAAGACCTTGAAGCACCTGGGAAAGGCACATTCTAGAACAGTCTTGGCTCCAGCAGAGGTCTTTGAGCATCAAGGGGTGAATTTTATTCTTTCCAGTGACCTCATACCTCAGCAATGCTGGAAACATGAGCTCTTTGATTAGAAACGAAGTCCTGCGTTGTCTGATGTACCCCTCGCTCTCCAAATCTCCCCCTCAACCTTCCTGTCTCAGCCATACTCCTGTCACACATGTGCTGCGCATACACCACACACACCAGAGCCTGAGGGAGTGGAGGCCTGAGGATTGTTTTTTCGAATTTTCAGGGAGCCACAGCCTGGTTTGAATTCCTTGATTCCCACAATTCTCTCCACGCCCTGACTGGAACCGTTGTTTCTGTCACACCCACGAGCCTGTTCCTTCCACTGTCAACTCATCTACTCCTTGCTTCTAGTTCTCCCTCCCTGGCACCCACAGCTCAACTTCCTCCGAGCCCTCAGCCTGCTTTCCATTCCCTCAGCCTGCTGCCTTCCATACTTGCAACACGGGTTTTCCCCACGTCCTTTCTTCTGTCGTGCCCAGAGCCTGCTGTTTTCATGTCTACAGCCTAACTTCTTTTGCAACCTCTGTCTCAAGTCTTTCCATCTCCACTACCTGGTTCCTTCCACCCTGCAGTCTGACTTCTTCAGCACTCTCAGCCTTGCTTCTTTCCTGCTGGCTTGGAGGTTTCTTTCTTGTATTTGCCCACCCCTTATTTACAGCCTGGTTTCCGACCCCACTGCCCGGTTTCCTCCCTGTCCACAGCCCAGTTTCTTCCAGGCCCCCTTGGGCACTTGGTCCTCAGGGAGGATCAGGGCAAAAGCAAGGTAAAAGGTCTCTAGTAAGCCCTCTTAAACCACATTCCCTGTGACAGCACCCAAGTCTCCACTTATCTAGGCAGCCCATCCTTTTGCAGCCTCACAGGGAGTCTACCAATCCCTGAAACTTTCCATCTCCCTGGCCATCCCTTAGTCCCTTCTTTTTGTTCCTGCTGAGGAGCCATGCCTGGGGGTGGCTAATAGCAATGGTGGGCACAGGGTGGAGGTGGCTCAAACTTTGACCCCCAGTTTTGGTTGTAAGTGAGTCCCCCTCCCCTACCATCCATCCTGGTGCCCTACTGGTGCCGGGAGCCTGGTGGGGGTAGGGCTTCGAGCAGGTGGCTCCCAGAGCAGAAGGAAGGCTCATTAGCTTGACTTCCAATTAGCCTTTACCTTGGGGGTCATTGCTCCCATACCTCTGTCTCGGAGCCAGCCTGTTCCTTCCAACCCCAGACCCATATGCAGAGGTGGGGGCCAGAGGTGAGCATGTCAGTGATCTGGTGCCTCTCCCCAGTACATCGGTCTCTTGCTTCCTGACCTAGACCACTGGAAAGTTCTTCCTTTGGTCTACCAAACAGCAGTTCTGCTTCAGCTTGAGTCATTAGCCTTCCCCTCGTGGAACCAAAGAGCTAGTAATTGCTGACCCCACAGGTCTTCTGTTCACACGGTCAACCCTGGAGCCTCCGTGGGGTGGAGAGGGGCGAGGAATCTATAACCGGAGACAAACAGACCCAAGCAGCCAACCGAGGCTCTCAGATCATACACGCTCATTCAGTTTGGTGCCAGAGGGTGAGGTGCAGACTTCTCCCTCCATAGACAAACTGATTCAGCTGATGCTACAAGTCAGTTCTCCAGTTTGTAGGGCAGCAGGAAGGGACTGAGAATCACTCCCTGGTCGTCCTGCTGGAACGGCTGCCTCGGGGACTGAGGGTTGACTGTCTGATGCTGCTGCAGGGAGAGAAACCTGGGGGGAGTGGGGAGGTTAGTTGGGCTGGATTGTGAACAGGAAGGGCTTTGTCAGGAGGTTCCCTGTGCTGGGATGCAAATGGGGGGGTGGGAAGAGGGAGGAGGGAGGTACCCAGTCACCCCAATTCCCACCCTGACCGACTGAAGTGTCATCCCTCTGCCTGCCCCCACCCCAGAGTCACCGGCCTGAGAAGGAGTGGCCCGTCAGGAGTCTCAAAGTCTACCTGGGAGTGAAGAAGAAACTCCGGCCACCCACCTGGTTAGCCGGGGCTGGGGCCTGGGAGAGCTCAGAACAGATTGGGGTGGGGGTGGGGTGGGGTTGCGGCACAGTGGGGGCTTTGAACTTGACAGGGGTTGATACCATGGTTCTGAAGGTGTGGTCTCCCAGACCAGCAGCCTCAGCATTACCTGGAAACATGTTAGCAGCCCACATCTTGGTCCCACCCCAGACCTGCTGAGTCATGGATCCTAGGGGGTGGGGCCCGCAGTCTGTATGGTAACAAGCCATTTAGGCGACTCTGATGTTTGCTCATGTTTGAGAACCACTGGCCTTGATTGAAATCCTGTCACTGACTATCTCAGGGATCTTCCTGTGCCTCACTTCCCACATGTGTAGAATGTGGAAAATAATGGTGCACCTGTTTCAAAGGGTGGTTGTAGTATGCTTTTAAGTGGAAAAGTGATGCATAGCCACTATTATTGTTGTTAATTACAGCCACCAGACTTGGTTTTCTGACTTTCTCCTCTCATCTGCTGGCTGTGCCTAGCTGTCTCTCAGAGACTAGGGCAGGCCTGGGTGGGGTGGCATGGGTATAGGGAGCCAAGGGCCTGGGAGGCTGGTGTGAACTGTGAGAGGAAGAAGCTGTGGCCAGAATGTGCCGTGCTTGCAAGAAGGCCCTGAACTGTGCCCCTCGGCTCTGGCCCAGGCTTCTGGGCTCCGTCCCGGGCACCTGGGCTGGGAGGCCTCTGTGGGCTGGCAAGTGACTCCATCTGCCCCTCCTCTGCAGCTGGGGCTTCACAGTGGTGCACGAGACAGAGAAACATGAGAAGCAGCAGTGGTGAGTAAGGGCCCTGGCCTGAGACCCCAGGTTGGGAGAGATGGTTGCATGTTCCCTTTGGTTGGGTCCCTTTATTGTCCATATATGCACCCTGCCTGGAGAGCCAGGCAGGCTGCTCAGCCTTGGCAGTGTCCAGATCCGTGCCCTGCCCCGCCCCGCAGGTACCTCTGCTGTGAGACACAGATGGAGCTCCGGGAGTGGTTTGCCACCTTCCTCTTTGTGCAGGTACCAGCTCAGGGTGGGGTCCCGTGAGGCTTCCATTATGGAGAATGGGTATGTTTGCTTCTTCACTACATAGGGCATCAATTGCATCAAGGAGATTTTGAGTTGCTTTTAATTCTTTTCTTCACTCAGCAAACCCTCCCTAGAGTCCACTTTGGTGCAACCCCAAGCCAGGCATGCTAGAGACAGAGTGCAGACCCCTGCCCTCAGGCACTCCCCATGTAGAAAGGAAAACAGACCTTGAAGTTGCCTGTTAAATAGCCCAATGTGGTCAGTGTATGGAGATAGAGAAAAGCCCAGGGACCCTACCCGCTGGAGGTGGTGGGTGTGGAGGGAAGGCAGCAGGGAGGGGGTGTCATAGGAGCTGAGTCTGAGGATGAGGAAGCCTTCATCAAGCAAAGGCGGTTGGAGGTGGGGGGGCAGGGGCAGGTCGGGGAGGCTTCTAGGCAGAAGGAACAGTTTATTGAAAGGCATGGCAACAGAACCACAGATTGCCCAGTGGGGTGTAAAGAGAAGCCAGGAGTACCAGAAGTTGACACTGGAAAGAGATTCAGGAGCCAGATCTGAAAGAGCCTTGAAGGCCATGCCAGAGGGAGCTGAACTTGACCTAGTCAGCAGTTTTCAGGGAGAGTTTTAAGCAAGAAAGCGGTGTGCAAGTTTGCGTCTGAGAGGGCTCATTCTAGATGTAGCGTGCAGGGGAGGACAGGCTGAAGGAGTGAGGTGGCTGCCGCAGTGGGCCAGGTGGGAACAGGCTAGGAGGGGCTTGGAGCCAGAGCAGGGCTGGGGTGAGGGGTTGGGAGTGGGAGGGGTTGGACTTAAGCCACAGATTTTAAACCAGAGCTCAGAATTGTTTAGGGAAAAGGCTGACAGAACGGTGCCAGGGCTGTGGGCTGAGTTCTTTTAGCCCCGAGCTTCCTGGTAGTCAAGCCTGAAGAGAAACAGGCAGATTCTATAGTTTTGTTGGTTCCTGGTGAAAGAAAGCACACACATGTTCCTCTAGAACTGTTTTCTTGGTGCTGCATTCTTGGAGCAGTTTGTTTGTGGACCTGGAGGTGGGGGTTGTTGAGTAACATAACTGGCTGGGTTCTGCCAGGGATACAGTCATGTTCTCCTAACAGCTGCTTCTCATATCGACTGGGATCAAAGCTGAGAGGGTCACCTCAGATCATAGCTGGAGGCGTTTCTGGGAAGGGTGGGTGGATCTGGAGCTGAGTGTCTGGGTGAGCTGAGTGTCCTCCTCTTCCCCTGCTCCCCAGCATGACGGCCTGGTGTGGCCCTCGGAGCCCTCCCGTGTATCCCGGGCAGTGCCTGAGGTCCGGCTGGGCAGTGTTTCATTGATCCCTCTGCGCGGCAGTGAGAACGAAATGCGAAGGAGTGTGGCCGCCTTTGCTGCGGACCCCCTTTCTGTGAGTAGTTTTCCATCCCTATGGGCAGAGCCCTGGGACCTGGCTGCTGCCTGCCTCCCACCTGACTCACCCGATTGCCCCCTGGCCCCCTCCCTCCAGCCTCCTAGCAGTCCTGACGGGCTCTTTTGGTTCATGTAGCTCTCAGGAGCCCCCTCTCTACCTGGCCCTGGGGACCCCGGCTGACCTGAGCACTCCCAAGCCAGCACTACAGAGCAGCTGCAGAAGCTTCAGCAGGGCCGCTGGTCCCTGTGAACCTTCACAAAGTGCTTATGGAATCTGGGCTTCTGTACCTTCCCACAGCTCCTCCGCAACGTCTGAGCGCAGAAGCCAGCCCCTGGCTCTGAGACTCTGCCGCCCTGAAGCCTTCCTGTTCAGACACCCTCGTGCCCTGCGTGCCTGGTGTGAACCGGCAGGGGATGCATGAGGAAGCCGCACCCCACATCCCACATCCTTGTTGCAACATGGGGTTCCCTGGCCAGGAAGTGGGGGGCAGCAGGGTCTGCCTGAGGAGGACCCCTCATCTGTTGTCTGGGTGCTCCTCCTGGCCTGGCCTGCTCCCCCCTCCAGGGTCACCCACCCTGAGTTTGAGGGGTTGGAGAGATGGGATGTGCATCATTCAGAAACTCTGGAGGACCACCATCCTTGCAGAGGCTCGAAGCCCTGGGGCCCCCGCTGGAAGGGAGCCCACCCTCTTGTCACAAACTCCAGAACAGCAAAAAGTGGATGCTCTAAAGGAACACTCAGCTGGGATAGGGAGGGAGCTCTTGGGTAAGTTTCTCTATAGCCTAGAACTGGGGCTGGGGGACTTGAGGAGCCTCCTCTGGTCTAGGCTGACTGGGAGGGCCCAGGCCGCCTGGTGCCCCTTCCCCACTTTGGGGGCCTTTTGATAATATAAATATATCTGTATATTTTATCCTACGGTGCTGAAGCCTGTGATTGGTTGGGGGTTTCAGGTGTTCCAGTGTAGGAGGGGACAGGAGTTCAGGAGGCCCAGAGGTGAGTGCCTAGTACCCTGAAGTTGGGGGCGGGGGGGGCGTGGGCCCTGTTCTTTCCAGGCTCTGAGCTGTTTAGCCACTCCCTCCTGCCCCAGGCAGAGCCCCGGCCCAGCTCCATGCCACCCCAGTGCATGCCTGTGCAGTCAGGGTGGGGAATACCGGTCCTGACCCTGGCCAGGACAGACCCCAGCTGGACCGAGCTCCTTTCCCTGCTGTAGTCTAGAGTCTGGGCCGGGGCCTGGGTGTGGCATGTGAATGACCCAGGGCAGCCCCTCACCAGCCCCTCTGAAACGCGAGGTCACAAAGTCACAGGAGCTTTATTAGGAAGAAGTGTCCCTTTATCCCTGTGCATGTCCCTCCGGAGGAGGGCCCTGCCTTGCACCAGGAAGCTGTCCTCACTGGGCACTGCCTGGTTGTCTCCTCCAGGAAGACAAGGCCCTGGCAAGTGGGGGAGATAACTAGCTGTTCAGAGACCTATTTGGGACTCCCTGGGAAGGTGCCAGACACCACATTCCTGCCTCTGCCTGGAGCCTCATTAACGGCCTCTCTCCAGGGGCCCGGCAGGCAGACAGGCTGACCTCCCAGCCTTAGCTTCAGCCAGTGGGGCTGGGCAAACAGGGTGGAGATGGGTCACATGATCTCTGATTCATGTGATCCAGCCCTGGGGAGGCCTGTGTATATGGATGGGGTCTTGGGGTCCTGGATTCCAGGTTCCTTGTTCCTGTCTCTTGAGAAGGGGAGGTGGATGCCAGACTGGAATGGGTTTTCTGGTCAGTTTCACAGGCTGGGGCTAAGCCCCTGGAGTCTCCCACTCTTATCCTGCCCTAACCGGGCTGCTCCAGGCCAGGCTGACAGATTGAATGACCATTCTGCCTGCCTGCAGCTAGGCCAAGACTGTTGTCCAAGTGCTCACGGGCTGGAATTCTTCCCAGGATCTGACTTCAGACCGACCAGCTAGTTCTGAGGTGCAGAGAGAGGGTGGGTGAGACTTAGAAGTGCCCCATGCTAGGCTGCCAGTGTCACTGACAGGCTCAGGGACTGGCTGCAGTGACTGAATTGGCCCACCAGGGGGCAGCCGTGGATAGCTCAATGTGGCTGGTCCCAGGACACGTTCTGGAGGTCCCAGGACAGGTTCTGGGGGCCCCAGTGTGGCGGTGCTGACCCAGACCTTGCTCTCTTGGAGTGTGGGGTGGAACCTGGCCCTGCCTTTAACCCCAAGACTAGTGATATTCTGGAAGGCAGCACAGTGCTTTGGACTCCCAAGATCTAGGAGCCAGGAGGAGAGAATAGCTCTTTTCCAAGTACCCACTGTGGGTCAGCACCTGTGCTTTATGCACTGTCTCCTCCTGGCAGAGGAAGAAAGGCTCAGAGAAGTGAGCCAACTTGCCCGAGGGCCCATAACTCTCCTGAATCAGGGCTGGGGTCCATTTCTACTATCCCACTTTGTAGGGGAGAGGGGTGTCTCCCTCTTCCACACCCCTCCTGACTTCGGCTCTGCTCTCTCCACTTGGTGTGTCCCATGGGGAAGGGGATCTGTACTGTCAGGAGTTAATGATAGCTTAAAGTGCTAACCCTTGGGATCAGGGATAGCATCCCAACGGGAGCCTTCAGGCCTGAACTTTAATGCATTGTGGCAATGACAGCAGTGTGATGGGTGGGTTATGCCAGGAGGCTCTGCTGGTTGTGGCCACAAGGATTCCTAGAAATGGGGCTTCTTGGGACCTTGAGTGGTTTTTTCACATATTATTTGAGGTTGGGCTGGGGGTGGGGGTGGGGGTGTGGAGGGTAGATGTGTGAGGAGCCCAGAGCTGGACCTGCTGAAAAGTAGGGAGCAACTCTTGGAGAGGGAGGAGGCTTTCTTTGAGGTTCCCCAAAGCTGGGCCTGAAAAGTGGAAGCCTTGCCAGGTACACATGGTTGGGAGGGGTGCAAGTTGGCGTGAGGGTGGGTTGAGATGCTGGGAGAAGAGGACTGGGTGACCCAAGTCTGGGTCTGATTGCAGGGGACCACAGTGAGCCCTGGGAGAGAAGGCTGTGGCAAGTCAGCCTGGGTGGTGAGGGCTTTGTGGATGGAGAGTAGGGACAGAACGGGGGAAGGGCTGGGAGATGGGATGGGATATGGGATGCCATCTCCTTCCTGTTCAACTTGCCCACCCTGAAAAGTGTTCAGCAGCCTTCAAGGGCCTCTGGACCTCAGGAGATCCCCAGGCTCTGCAGGAAATCAATGGGACTGGGAAGGAGCCCTGCCTCCTCCCTGCTTCCCCCAGATCTTGGGGGCGGGGGGACCTGGAGCTAAGGCCTTCTCTTCTGGCCTCAAGCTCTGGTGGCTCCTGAGCCCCCTGCCCACAGCTTGCTGTTTTGGAAAAGCATGGGTGTGGATGCCAGCTGGGCAGATGCCGACACTCCCATCTATAAGCTCTGGAGCTTTGGCTGAGTTCCTGAGGTCTCTGATCCTCACTGTTCTCATCTGCTTTGGAGATATTAATAGTAGCTACTAATGGGAGGATTAAATGAGCTAGTAAGTGTGAAGTACCTAACACTGTCCCCTGATAATCCCCTTCTCAAACATGTCTGGGGAGACCTAGCATCCAGTCTTCAGGCCCGATATATATATATATTTTTTTAATTTTTTTTATTTTTATTTTTATTTTTTTTATTTTTTTTAAATTTTTTTTTCAACGTTTATTTATTTTTGGGACAGAGAGAGACAGAGCATGAATGGGGGAGGGGCAGAGAGAGAGGGAGACACAGAATCGGAAACAGGCTCCAGGCTCCGAGCCATCAGCCCAGAGCCTGACGCGGGGCTCGAACTCACGGACCGCGAGATCGTGACCTGGCTGAAGTCGGACGCTTAACCGACTGCGCCACCCAGGCGCCCCTTTAATTTTTTTTAAACGTTTATTTATTTTTGAGAGAGAAGGGCAGGGGCAGGGGGCGGGGGGCAGGGACGGGGGGCAGAGAGAGAAGGAGACACAGAATCTGAAGCAAGCTCCAGGCTCCGAGCTGTCAGCCCAGAGCCCGATACAGGGCTTCAACTCACAAACCAGGAGACCATGACCTGAGCCAAAGTCTGATGCCCAACCAACTGAGTCGCCCAGGCACCCCTAGGTCCGATATATTTTACTTCAACAAGCACTTCTTGAACACCTACTGTGTGCAGTGCTTTACTGAACCATGAGGGGGAGCAGATGAGTAAATGCTGTGGGGGAAGGAAGAAGCCCTTCCGGTAGGTGTATTGATCAGGAAAGACTCCACAGAGGGGGTGAGGCTAAAAAGACCAGCATATTTCTGTGGGTGGAGTTAAGAGGGAAAGGTGTCTTCAGAAGAGGGAATGGCATGAACCAGAGGCAAGGTGATGTGAGCCTGCAGTAAGCAGCCTGTGTGGTTGCAGCTGAGTGCCCCAGGGCCTGTCCCCAGTGCCTCTGCTATTGGGGATTTTGCCTCTCTTGCCTCTGAAATACAACTACATTCCAGACAAATGGAGTCCTCAGGGTCTTCCCCAGCCAGAAAAAGGAATAGCTCCTAGTCCTTTAGCTAGCTCTGTGGCCTAAGTGATCCCAGGCTCGCACCTGGGAAACGTCTGTCTGTCTCACATACACACACATAATAAGTACAGCTAACATGAACCTCCCAGCCTCTCCTCCAATGTGACACTTCTTTCAGGAAGCTCTTCTGGACTGTTCTTCCATCTTGCTATACTGTGTGCACTTAGAATGTGTGTTCACGTGCCCAGGTCACTTGCACCCATCTAGGGACTGGCCTGGGGAAGAGCTATCAGAGCAGGGTCCCCTGGTCAGCCCAAGATGGTCCAGCCCTAGCGTGTCCCCTCTCCCATGCCACTTTCAGCTTGTGGAAATTTCCGCACTTTCTTTGCCCCGGTTACAGCTCCTACTGCTGTATTTATCACCCTGGAGACACAGTGGCACAGGCATACACATGCCACACACACACTCATGCCCTATACACACGTGCCTGCACACCTCAGCCTGCTCTTCCAGATGCACACATGCCCGCACGTGCGCGCACACAGACACATGCATGGCACGTGTCTAAACGCCCCCACCACAGAGCTCTCTAGGAAAACTGCCCCTCCCCTGCTCCCCCTCCTCCACTCTCTTCCCACCACCACCCACCTCAAAACACTGAGACCAAAGAGATGGGCTGGACGGCCCTCCCACCACTTGTCAGCCTGGGAGGCACATCCGCCTCCGTAACTACAGCATCCTCCCTCCCACCCCTTCTTCCCCACTGCCCGCTTTTCCCTCCGTCTCTCCTCAGCTTCTCTGTCCTTCCCTCTGCCACTTCTCTGTGCTCCTGTCTGTGTCTTCCTGCACCTCAGTCATTCTGAGTCCTCTCTTGTCACTCTTGGCCCTCTGAGGTAGAAATTGTGCTTCCTCCCTGCCCTCCCTCCTGAGGGGCTCAGGATGGGGACCTTGTGTGTGGGGGGGAGCTTACGGAGACAGGGATAGGCCTAGGGGACCCAGGGACCTGAGCTGCCTCGTATCCTGTCACTTTCAGCCCCTCCTCCTGGGTGAAGGGAGAACTGTGTGCCTGGCACCATGGAGACTAGCGTCATGGC